GTTACTTTAGTCAACAGAATGTTTAAATAAAGTGCAACCAGACTTAAAATGTTGCACATTGTGTAATTCGTAAGACATTTGCAACTGCTTTTTATCACTTAAGGAGAAGCACCGCGATTAAATTGTAACTTGATATACTGGGACTAAACAGATATTTAGAAGTGGGCAAAGTTTAGAAAATGTGGAAAGGTTTGAAAAAAAATTGTAAATACCTCCCTACATGAGTACCATGTTTGTATCTTTGACACCTTGCACTGACCCATTTTGTGCCAAACGTTGAGGTGTAGGTTTGTAATTACTTTCGGTTGGAGAAACTACACTCCTGCTACTAGTGACAACTCTCTGTCCAAACCAGAGCTGCCAGCTGCTTTGTGGTTAGCAGTGGGCAAAGCCACATCTGGTTGCTGTTACCACTCCCTGCCATGGCATCATGCCGCTGGTTTGGCCCACAAGCTTTGTGGCTTTCCCTGTCACTGGGCATGAATGGTGCATGTGGTGCTTTGGTGGTTCACTCTTCTTTTAAGATGCTGATAGAACTGCACGACCAGGAGTGGACTGGTAATGCCAAAACCTAGTTTTAATGTGGTAAAGGTTTATGGGAAGTCTCACACGCATGCGGATCTCACCCTCACACAGCTTCTGTTCCATAGCATCACGGATACGGTCGATATTGGTGTAGTCCTCCGCATACAGCACGTATTCACCCTGCGGCTTGTTGGCGATGGTCACCAGCTCTGATGTGGTGATCTCCGTCCCGACGCCCACCGCAAACACTTTAATCCCTTGTGCTCGCGCCTCCACGCTAGCATCCATAACATCGTCCTGCGACTTTCCATCAGTCACCACCACAGCAATGCGGTTCTTCACTTCACTTCGTTGCGAAGATGCAAAGACGTGGTCAACGGCAAACTTGATTGCACGACCTGTCTGCGTGTTGCCACCTAAATAGCTGATGTCCTCAATAGCTTTAATGAGATCTTGAGTGGTCTTGTGGAGACCGAGAGGGATCTCCAACCTTGGGATGTCACTGTATTGTACTACGCCCACCTGCGAGTAGTGCGCACTCACGTCGAAGCCACTGGTGACACTGATTAGCCAGCGCTTGGCTGTTTCAAAGTCGTCACTTCCCACACTCCAGGAGCCGTCCATGATGTAGACCAGGTCATTCACAGCAGTGCTGCAGCCTACAGAATGGGAACAAGAACTGGGCTAGAACTAAACATCACACAGCACACAGAGAGTGACAGTATCCATCAATAGAGCACAAAATGTTACTTTTCAAATTTAGATATAGATTTAAACCTCCTGAATTCAGCTAACAAGCAACATCATAATGGAGTGCTATGATTTGGAATGTAAATGGACAAAACGTCCTTCGCAAAATTCACGCAGTATTCGTCATAGGAGACTCACAATTGTTTATTGACAATAAAAGCCAAATAAAAACTTCCAATTGCAATGATCTTAAGAAAGCAACGACGGAAAACAGGTAACTGACACTGACAGAATCCCAGCAAGTACTTTATACAATCCCATACAGGAATGTAATATCAAGAGCAATATGGCCATATACTGTATATTACCAATAAGGCGATGGATAATTTTCACATATGTACATTCTCTGGGTAGATGGTACGTTTATAACATATATAAAATCCCCATAGTAAAATTTATGTTAATAATATCAATATGGTGATTTTTATATGACATTATATGTAGCTGTATGTCAACGATATATATTTTACTTATATATGCAATCTGCACGTCTAACTAATATTTACTTCTATAATGTCAACATATATTGACGGGTTTTGACGGGATATACAGGACATAAATGTCTAAATGTTTTAGACATGCATAAACATGCATATTTCTATGGGCTTGATATGGATATGTTAATATGAGAAATTGTTCCAGTTTCTAATAGGTTTCATATATGTTTTGCGTCAATATGTGTCATATATGGAAATTTCATGTACATATACTACATTTGCATATGGGGTTACATCTTGGAAGTTGGCATAAGCTAAAATTGCCAAATACACTTAATAAAGCATAGATGTCACAAATATTTGTAAAATAGTCAATTTTTAATAAGAGTGAACTATTTTTAACAATACTTTTTTAATATTGCCAACATTTCACTTTATTTGTTTGCCATTTTTCATAGTTTTTTTTACTAAGCTCATTGAAAAAGGATTGGATTCTCCGTGAAGAATGCATGCATGCTACCCAGCCAAAAATATCTCTCTTTGCATCCTTTACGGTCTTGGACCACAAGTATAATGCTTCCAAATGCTGCCTATTTTGGCACCTCACTAGGTTTTGAAAGCCTTAAAGTCATCAAGAAACCGAAATTGCAATCAGCTCTCCTCTATTGTGGCTTATATTTGAAATGGCTTCTCTAACAAGAAAAAAATGTAAGTTATGCGAATGGCATGCTGCTGGATAGGAGAGAATATTGCACTGCCATTGTGAGGGTGGGAGATGTTTTTATTAAAGATTACGAGGGCACATTAATTAAAAATATTATGTGCATAGAAAAATTATTTGATAATTCAACATTCTATTTAAAAATATGAATTGGCTATTTCTTAGTTGACTTTCAGTCTTCTAAATACATCAGATGCATCGCTCAAAGGGTTAATAAACTGTCAATACCTGCTCGAATATCATCGTCCTCTGCGGCGTGCGAGTACACCAATAAGAGCAGTGCTGGAAAACTCTTCAGAATCCACGACATTCCCAACCAGCGTTCCAGTCCTTTCCCTAAAATGTCAATCTTCAGAGCCCTGTTAAATGAAGAGAATTACAATGTGTTTGTTTTGGATGCAGAGCAAACATTGCAATCTATAATTATTCTAAAGAGTTAAGAACCAGTTTGCTTACATAATTACTTAAAGATGGCTGTTTCATTTGATTATACCTCTGATGTTACACACTCACTTAAGCTAATCAGATCAGTGCACAGTTGTTCACAGGGGTGTTAAGATGCGTTCTCAGAAACAATCAAGTAATCACTTCTGAGATTAAGCATTTACTACAGAATAATGGAAAGGCCTATCGTATTCTATCATCATGAGGCGTTTGTCCCATATTCTTAAAAACCAACCTAATACATTTCTTAACTAAAGATTTCTGTTGACATTATGATGCCAAAAAAGTAGCAGCAGCTTGAAAATAATCATTATCAAATAATTAGTGGTTTATCGTTATTCTAGCATTATATAGACTTGAATGTGAGCTCTTTTGACTATACAGTACACTCTCAGAAAAAAAGGTACAAAAGATGTCACTGGAGCGATACCTTTTTAAAATGTAAACTTTTGTACCTTTTAGTTACTGATATGTACACTTTAGATACTAATTTGTACCTTTAAGGTACCAATATGGACTCTTTAGGTAC